CAAACACTTGTAATTCCAGCTACTCAGGAGACTGGTGGGAGGATTCCAAGTTCAAGGCCAGCCTCAGGAATTTAGTGAGACACAGTCTCAAAATAAAAAAATAAAGAGCTGGGAATTTAGTTCAGTATAGAGAGCTTGCCTAGCACACCTAAGGCCCTGGATTCAATCCCTAGTACCACCACCAAAAAACAAGTAATTAATAAATAGTATAAAGGGCTGGAATGTAGCTCGGTGGAAAAACCACTCCTAGGTACCCCAGGTACCCAAAAAGGAAAAAGGTAGAAGAAAGCAAGGTAGGTGGTACACACCAATAGTTCCAGCTACTCAGGAGGCTCAGGAGCTGAAGGCCAGTCTGAGCAACACAGTGAGACCCCCATTTCACAAAACAGAAGAAGTAGGGTTGGGAGAGAAAAGATATGTGAATGAATGTATGTATGTGTGTGTGTATATATATACACACACATATATATACATATATATATGTATATATATACATATATATACACACACATATATATACATATATATATGTATATATATATACATATATATATACATATACACACACACAACACAAAAACATATGTACTTATTAATTATGTCTATAAAGAAAGAATAATCTGGAAAGCAAAGGTAATGTTAGAACAACAAACAAAACTACCTCCAAAAATATACTAAGCATTAAGTTAGTATAGAAACATTTACATTAAATGGTTTAAAGGGGGTTTCTTTTTTTTTCACATGAAACTGTAATCTATAAAGACCACTGATATGTACCCCAACCAATGTAGTGAATTTAAAAAAAAAAAAAACTTAAATTACTGCAGCTAGATAGCACTTTAGTGTGTTCCAAATCTAAATGGCACTTTGACTTACTATGTCTTGTAAAACAATGACTTTAAAGCTTCTGTTACATTACTCCCAGCTCCTTTTTTTGCTTTATGGATCAGTTTTAATCTTCTCATACTGGTACTTGAGGTCTTCCAAAAGCTTACTGCATTCCATAAGGCCCTTATAAACTATAAAGTTCATGCTTCTAATAGTTTCCCTTTACTGTTGTAGGTGCCCTAAATAAAGATAATTAGGTCCTCCTTCAGTGGGCATGCTAGGTCTGACTGAAAATTAGACACATACAGAAAGAAAAGAAGCAATAACTACCCTCATCTGAAAAGCCATGAGAGAAAATTAATCTTTACTGACAAATAGATGAAAACAAATATATTCTCCCAAAAGTATTTATTTCCCAGATTATATCACCTTACTTCACTATTCACAAATTAATAGCTAAAATTTCCCACAACATACTTCTTTAAATTATACTCAGACACAGAATTCCGGTATATAGCGATGGTAATACAGATAAGCAGCATCAGCATATCACCCAATCTAAAAACGGGGAAATATGAAAGCACTCAGCCACATGATAGCTGTCCTCTGGGCCCCACTCCTGAAGAGGAAGGAAAAGTCATACCCAAACTAATGATACTAGGCAACCAGCAACCAGAAAACCAAAATGAGAAGAAAGTAAGTAGGAAATTAATTACAAAAGGGAATACAACTTAAAATTCTGTATTGTTAAAACAGCTACTAGGATACTGATAAATTATGTCATATATTCAGATATACAGTCACTGCTTAGAATTCAAGTGACCTGCTGGTCATAAAATTTGCTGTGGGATGGTGGCATCACTAAAATCTACTCAAATTCCATTTTGCTTTGTACTTGAAAGAGGTTTATTCAACACAGCCACTACAAAGCTTACATATCATGTATTGTCCTCAAAAGTGCATTTAATAATGGCAAATTAAAAAATAATCTATTAAATGAGAAGATGCTGTCTGTAAATTAATATATTCATAAAGGTAAACTCCTATGCTTCCCCCAGTCAAGTTAATTTTTGATGAATTAAAGGACTAAGCTATTCCTTTTAACTGTGGATACTATCTCAAGTCTGCTCTGGATAACACAAGTTGATTCCTTAGAAGTAGCAGAATCACAGAAAAGAACTAGTTGCACAGACAAGAACTTGCTTTATTTTCAACCATCCCAAACGAATCAGACATTTAATAAATGCATGTTAAAGGTAGGGAAAGAAGGGAGTAGGCATAGTGATTAATATTAAACTTCATTAAGTACATTGGTCAATCCTATAGTTTAGAGATTTAAAGAACTTCAAAAATGAAAGGGATATTCTAGATAATCTGAGTTGTCCCATATTCTACAGATAAAAAAAAGTGAGGCCCAGGATGTTGAATAAATGACTCAAGGTCACATAAGAAGGAACAAGTTGGTTCTCAAACACCTACACTCCCAAATTCTAATATTGAGAGGAAAGACACAGACATCTGATTAAATACTATGTAACTGAATCAATTCAGAAAACAATTCTAATATTTTCTAGGATACTGATAAATTATGTTTTGTTGTTGGTGGTGGTGTTTTGTTTATTGGTTGGTACTGGGGATTGAACTCAGTGGCATTCAACCACTGAGCCACAGCCACAGCCCTATTTTATTTAGAAACAGGTTCTCTTGAGAGAAGAGAGAGAGAGAGAGAGAATTTTTTAATATTTATTTTTTAGTTTTCGGTGGACACAACATCTTTTATTTTATCTTTATGTGGCACTGAGGATCGAACCCAGCGCCCCGCGCATGCCAGGCAAGTGCGCTACTGCTTGAGCCACATCCCCAGCCCAGAAACAGGTTCTCACCAAGTTGCTTAGTGCCTCACTGTTGCTGAGGCCGACTTTAAACTCTCAATCCTCCTGCCTCAGCCTCCCAAACAGCTGGGATTACAGACTTGTGCCACACCACACCTTCCACCGTGTGAAGAGGCAGCATGAAGATAACATGACAAATTTTCTTTATTGTTTCTTACCCTAAGCCATATTCAGCATGTCTTTCTTCTCTTTCCCTCTCTGGGAGAGGAGAAAGTCTTGGAAAAGGACAAGAGGGGAGGGTTAGGAAGGGCAGAAAAAGAAAGCTTTAAGAATTGCCATGGTCAGAAATGTGTCCTTCAAAAATTCATACTTATGTATAATTCCTGTTGTAATGGATTAAGAGGTAAGCAGGGTCCTTAGGAAGTGATAAAATCCTCATGAACAGTATTAGTGCTCTCATAAGAGAGGTTCAAGGGAGCTGCCTTTTCCCTTCCTCCATGGGAGGACACAGCAATCACCCCACCTTCCACCATGTGAAGAGGCAGCATGAAGATGACATCTTGGAAGGAGAAAGCAGCCCCTCACCATACACAAACTTACTGACCCCTTGGCTTTCACTTCAGCCCTCCAGAATTGTGAGCAATAAATGTCTGTTTTTATAAATTATACATTCTAGGATACTTTGTTATAACAGCACAAACCAACTAAAAACAAGGATCTTTCTTTTTCTTTTTCTTTATACTGGGGATTGAACCCAGGGGCGCTTAACCCCTGATCCACATCCCCAGCCCTTTTTCAATATTTTATTTAGAGACAGGGTCTTGCTGAGTAACTTAGGGCCTCCCTAAGTTTTGAAGCTGACTTGGAACTTGCAATTCTCCTGCCTTAGTCTACAGAGCAACTGGAATTACAGGCATTTTTAATCCTCCTTTGCTACATTTTCTTCAACTTGAAATATTAGAACCATTATACCTAAGAGAAGTAAAATAAAGCTCTAGATAGCTAATACAAAGCAAGGACTGAGAACTATTCATTTCCACACTTTCACACCTTGCAATATAATACAACTTCAAATATATGATAAACTCTTGTTCGATTAATAGACACAAGATGTCTTTACCAAGTGAATATTTTCACTGTTTTTAAATATAACTCCTATTTTAAGTAAGAATTCAAGAAATTGGGGGAAATGTTTTTAATACTGAATATACAACTAAAGACTAGCTCATATTTTAAATGAGTAAAATCAGTCCCACATGTGGCAGACAAAGCTATGCAGTTCTGTGGTCAGGTTCATGAGCTCTACAGCCAAGATGCCAGGTTTGGATACCTGCTCCACCAACAACTAGCTGCAAAACTTTGGCCAAGTTATTTAACCCCCGCCCCTCACCTTTCTTGAAGCCTTACATTCCCCACTATAACACTGGAATAACAATAATAAATACCTTACATTGATTCTTACAAATATTAGTTGAGATAATCCAAAGCAGTTCACATAGATTCTTAAACATTAAATTATAATATACAATATATACTTAAATTTAGTTGTAAAAAGTAACAATTTCTCTAACTGGCATAAAATTATAAGGTGCTGGGTACTTGAAATGATTACACTGGCCTAAGTTAGCATCAGTACTAATGAATTACCTGTAAATCAGGTGTTTTTAACTAAATGCAACTAAATATAAAGTAGATTTTAAATAAATCTCTTTTCTCAATATAAAAGTTCACTGCCAAAATTTCATTATTCTGAAAGACCAACCTACAACTATCATTTCTCCTTAAGTAAAACATTTTACAGCCAGGGGTACTATTCAAAACACGTAATGCCTATTCAAAACAGACATAAACCAGTACACATGACCAGTGAGTGCACAATGGCAAAACATCATCCCAGCTTATCCTCAAGATCAAGAAATACTGTTTGAGCCAGGCATGGTAGTGCATACCTATAATCCCAGTGGCTTGGGAGGCTGAGGTACAAGGATTGCAAGTTCAGGGCCAGCCTCATTAACTTAGCCAGGTCCTTAGCAACTCAGCAAGACCCTGTCTCAAAATTAATGAAAGGGTCTGGAGACATGACTCAGCACAGCTGGGTTCAATTCCTAGTCCCTTATACCATCCCCCAAAAAGAGAAAGACAGAAAAAAAAGATATGCTATTTGTCATGGAAATAATGTCCCTCTTCTGTGTTGTTTTTTTAAATGTAAAATTGCACCATACTGGCATACAGTTTGTTAACAAAACACAAAAATATACTCATTGTACCATGCCACAAAAAGGGCAGAATGTCTTTCATTCCATACAACAAGATAGCTCGCTGATTATCTCTCTGTCTCACCTCCAGGTCACAGCTGTATTCAGTGCCATCTAGGAGGGTCACTTTACACTGGACAGTTTTGGTCTTCTTGGTGGCTTTCTGAGAAGTCTTCTCTGCTTTCAGTTCATTAGTTTGCACTTCCTTGGTCTCCCTTGGTGCTGCCACTTCATCTTCCTGTATTTCCTTCACCTCTTCTCTTTCCTCCCTGACTTCTTCAGCAGGCTATCAAGGAGAAAACAATTAAGTACATGCTAAAGTTAACCAACTTGCAGAAGACAACATATTAAAAAGAAAATCTTTTTGTTCACCCTCACCCCCAGAGGGGGAGTCTTGCTATTGTTGCCCTGAATGGCCTCAAAGCAATCCTCCTGCCTCAACTCTCAAGTACCTGCAATTAAAGGCACATGCCACCTAGCCTGGCTTGAAAGGAAAATCTTAAAGAGCTGTGCTCAGTATTCAAACTATCATAAGCCTAAGATTCTAAAAAATTTGAAAATTATGCCATGAAGAATATTTCCCCTCATCCTCCTTCTACTGCCAATTTTCTCATTTTGTCAAGTTGGCCACTTTAGCATTGAATGACTAAAAGAAACTATATCCTAGGAAACACAATTTAAATATCATGGAAATAACAGAATTTCCAATTAAAATCTCAAACCACAGCAAAACTAGACTTCATTAGGCAACCAAAATGTACTATTTACTACTTATTACCCACTGAACACATAAATAAATAAGTAAATAAACAAACAAAGGGAATATTATTTAAAACAAAAGGTAGCAGGAGTCTCAGAGTATCTGCTTAACCTTAACAGGAATCTGTAGGAACCTCTTAACAATCTGTACAGCGTTTGTTGTTGTTATTTGGTTGTTGTTTTTTTTTTGGGGGGGGTTGTTTTTGGGGGGGGGTTTTGCTTTGTTTTATTATTTTGGAATTTGTTTCAAAAAGGAATGGCAGAAGTCTAAGGGAGACCAATCCGATACCTGTATTCCAAACACATTAAGCCAAACCAATATCACAATGTAAGAAAACTGGAAATGATCCCAAACAGACCCTTTTCCGTAAGTCCTTAGGTTCTCATTCTCAATCACTTGCTCTCAATGATACCTGGGTCTCAGCTTTGCTCACTGAAGGTTTTCCTTCCTTGACTTCCACCTTAACCTCCTGGTGTTTACTCTGAGCAGTTTCTTCAGCATCCCCTTTGGCCTGTCTCTCTTCTTCTGGAAGGGAAACCTCTTTATCTAAAATCTGTTCTTCCACAACAGCTTCAGTTGGCTCTTTTTTATCTCCTCCATCTTTGGCCACTACCAAATTATAAGACTTCTGTTTCTTGAGCCATGGGGGTATAAATCGGGAAATACCCCTGCTCTCAGATGTATCCTTCTCTCTCTTCTGGCGGTGTGGACTGCTTTGGCTTTCAGCAGGTGGTGGTGGCTGGGAACCTTTTTCCTCCTCTGGTTCAGATGACTGATGCTGCTGATTTTCTGCTACTTGTTTAGCTTTCTCCTTGGTCACATCTGCTCCCAACTGGTCAGAGTCCTTCTTCACTTCAGATGCAGAGCCAACTTCAGTAGTCATGGTCACGGCTTATACTGTAACAAAACAAAAGTCAAAAAATATTTTATAAAGTCTCCCAATTTTAGCGTGGTGGCAAGAGGAAGGGAAGGTTAAAGCAGGGTGGGAAGAGGAATGACAGAAATGAAATGGAGAAAGCACAAGTTAAGAAAGAAGGTTCATAAGCACAAGAGAAAATGGAGACTGCTTTCTTACTTTTAGAATTCTCTTAAAGAATCATAGAACCAAAACTAGCATCACAATATAAGTTCTATATGGCTAGAACTTAAAAAAAAAAAACAAGACTTAAGAAAGACTGATCACCAGGCACAGTGGCTCATACCCAGCTACTCTGAAAACAGGAGGATCACAAGTTTGAGGCCAGTCTGTGCAACCTGAGACTATCTCAAGATAAAAATTAAAATTAAAAAAAAAAGAAAAAGAAAATATGACTGGGGATGTGTAGCTAGTGTAAAGTGTCCCTGATTCAAGCCCTATAATGGGAAAACAAAAGGAAAGGGATTACTTTTATTTAGTTTCACTTACTTATAAATAATGAGCACAATAAATCCAATTTTTTAAGAAAAACTACTTCTGTGTATTTGGTAGCCTTTATACTGTAACGTGAAAATGTTGTCAACAATGCTAAAAAGTATTGAGACACATTTCACTGCATTTTCACATATTAAAACCCCAAATCTACAAAAAAAATGCTAGGTATTACAAGAACAAATTTTAAATGCTGGAGGCTTGATAGTAAGAAAATTAAAGTTGAAACAAAAATGTACTGTTTTGTGCTTTGATATTAAATCTTGTAATTCACCCATCACTATTTCAGTACAAAAGCTAATCTGGGAAAGGTACTGAAACCATAATCAAAACTCCAACTTTATCCAATCCAACCTCAAACACATTTTTCTTTGTGTATTTGATTGTAAGAAAAATATCGAAAGGCCCTAATCCAAATGAAATAAAGATAATATGGGGGTCAAAACCTAATGATTGATCCTATTGCACCTAATGAAAAGAAAATTTTAAATTAAATCTAAAAATAACTGCATGTCTAAATTTTACAAAAACAAATGGGGACTTTTCAAATGCAGTAGCAGCACCAGCAAAAAGAAGAATAGGCAGGGCCCTTGGGAGAGTGGACTATACTTCTCCCCTCTCTTGCTAATGATTCAAGTATTCAAAGTTAGTGCACCCTGGCCAATAGATAATGTCATTACCATCTTCCTAAGTGGTACAAATTTAAAAGACAAAACAAAACAACAAAACTAAAGCACACTTGTTTTAAAGCAAATTTGAGATATAATGCAATGCATATACCATAAAATTCATGCTTTTAAAGAACACAATTAGTGGTTCTGAGTATATTCTCACAAGAATACGATCACTGCTCTCAATTACAGAACATTTTCATCATTCCAGAAAGAAGTCCTGGACCCTTTAGTAGTCACTCTCCACTCCTCTCTTCCCCTGTCCCCTAACAACCAATAATCTATTTTCATGTTTCATGGACTTGCCTATTATGGATGCTGCAAATATCATAAATCATACAAGACATGCCATCTTTGCTTGGCATGTTTTCACAGTTCATCAACAATGTGGCATGTATTACTGCCATATTTGTTTCCTGAAATACTACTCACATCTTCTGAAAATCATATATCTAACAGATAATATTTTGCTATCCAGAATATATATAAGAAGAAATTTTTGTAACTCAAGAATAAAAATACATAAAACCAATTTTTAAAATGGTCAAAGGTTTTAAAAAAGACATTTTTCTAAAAAAAATTTACAAAAGACCACTAAGCACATGAAATGATGTTCAACATGGTTAGTCATCAGTTGTAAAGCAAAACTATTATGAAACACTCCTCGAATCCACTAGGACCATTATAATCAAAAAGACATAGTAGAAAGTATTGATGAGGATATGGAAAATGTGGAATTCACAGCATTACTAATAAGAATGCAAAATGGTACAACTACTTGAGGAAAGAGCTTTTAAAATTTAAATACAGATTTACCATATCACCCAGCAAATTCTATTGCTAGTTATATACCTAAAAGAAAACATCTATTTGTATATGAAAGTTCAGAACAGCCTTACTCACCAGCGCCTATCAACTGATGAATAGATAAAATGTGGCATGTCTATAAAATAGAATGTTATCCAGTTTAAAAAAAAAATGAAACAGTACATGCTACAGCATGAACAAACCTTGAGATTTGGAGGTTCTAGAAGTTATTTTAAAGGCAATAAGACATCACAGCAAGCTCTTTAATCAGGAGAGTAATTGTAATCAGATTCTTATTTCATTTTTTTCACATTAACCACATTTATTTCAAATTAATTTGTCTTTTGAAAGCACCAATATATGACACTCTTTGGATACATATATTTGGTGTGTCTTCATATTTGTCACTTTATGTATTATGTTCTTTTCTTTACTCTCCTTTTTATACAATTTCTTTTTCCAAATTATTGAGATTAGTGAATTTTAGACACTTCAGTTTTACAGTGCAGTCTGTAGATTTTCTTTTTAACCTCAGCTAAAATACATCCCGCTTTTTATAGGCTTATTGTTATGTAAATGACTTCTAAAAATCTGCGTATATAACACCCTAACCTGACCTTACTCTGGACTATTGATATCTGAGTGGAGAGAGAGTCTCCCCTTGCTAAGTTGCTGAGGCTGGCCTCCAACTTGGCGATCATCCTGCCTCAGCCTCCGGAGTACCTGGGATGACAGGTGTGCCTGGTCCCTCAGGTCTCTTACAGAAAGGTGCCTTCCCTCGGGGTCAGAAGGATTCTTATTTCAAATTGTCCAACATGGTTATAAAGTAAAGGTAAAGACTAAAACAGAAAAACATCTGGGAGATTGCTACAATAATTCAGACATGGTTTTGTACTATGGAAGAAGTGGGGTAAAGCAAAAGAAGTAAATCTCATGGTAAAAATGTAGTAGACTGGAAATGATTTGGGGGTCTAAATAAATACACAAAGTCAAGGATCAAAGGAAGGTTGTCCCAGGTTATGGGCCAATGGGGGAATAGTAGAACCATCCACGGAAATACTGCACACCTGAAAAGTGAATCTTGTCAAGACTTTTAACTTTTTTTTATTAAGGTTGGGGTGCTAACTAGAGATTGAACCCAGAGGTGCTCTACCTCAGCCTTTTTTATTTTAAGACAGGGTCTTGCTAATTTGCTAAGGCTGGCCTCAAACTTATGATCTCTTGATTCAGCCTCCAAGTTGCTAGTAGTATATACCACTACACCTGGCTCAATTTTGAATCCACTGCAATTGAGAAGTTTGTGGAGATGTCTAGACACTAGACACAACAGGTTTTGAAGGAGGCTGGATATGCACTAGAGATGCTACTCAGAAGTTATGGTCATATGGGTACATGGTTGCAAACATGGATGATACTGACTTTACCTAGAAAAACAATGTCACTTGATCTTAAGAGGATCATAACAAGAACACTTATCATAACCCACAGACGATGAAATGGCATGAAGGCCAAATACACACACACACACACACACAGAGGCAGGAAGATCGGAAACATAATGTCCTTGAGGGTACTGTTATAAAAGAGGGAACAGTTAAGTATCATACCCACATGCCCAATGTTACTTCTCATTCTTAGGCATTTAAAATGCAAAAGCATGTCTTCTAACCAAAGACACTTAAACTGGCTCCATACTGCACAGAAAACCTTTTTCCCCTTTTAACATGTCATTTTTCATGCACATTTAAGAGAAAAATATTATTTACATTAGTCATGAAATAACCAAAGTTGACTTCTAGCTTATACTCTCTAATTAAATTCTGAGAATTGAATAAAAACCCTGGTAAAATTGGAAAAAAAATGTCCCAACCCTTGTCTCACCAAGATAAACTGACAGCTCTTTAATTACTCTGGTTGTAAGAAAGTATCTGGAGACTAATCAAAAATAGCTGAATTTCAGCCAAAAATTTTAAAGGCAATAAAATATAAAACCAAAGTTTCCACTATAAGGTTCAAAGTATTAATAGGTGTTTATACTTCAATCACAGGAGGTACCACTCATATCTTAATGTGTCAGGAACCATGCTGCTACTCAAAACATCTTACAAAGTAGATATTAACTTAATTTTGTAAATAATAACCAAAATATAAGTGATTTGTCCAAGACCACTAAATGAATAACCGCACAGCTGTACACATTACCTCACTAATACCTCATAATGCAACCCCAATCCCATTACACATGAATGATCTAATTAATCAGAGCCCCTGCTCTAGTCCTGAGTAAAGATTCATGCCAGTTTGTTAAAATGATTACAGAAGAACATGAATGTATTCTGTGATTTACTATAAGTAGCCCTTTCCCCCATAAGAAATTTACAAACCAATATCACATTTAAAAGTTATATTGAAAAATATTTGAAAGTTAGCCATGTGATCATAACCAAACTATGAACAGAAATTGAAGACAGAGTTCCAATACAGAGAGAAAGAACACAGATAAACTATACCCATTGTGCCTCCTAGAGTTGTCCTCATCAGTACCACTGTACTCACAATTTTAAGTTTCAAGAACCTCAGAGTTGAACAGTGTTACCCATCCAAATGGAAGTAACAAGACAGTAAACAACAGAAATGGCTAGTTGGTTTGAGAATACTCAATAATAAGGGTAGATAAAAGTATAAGTAAATAAGCATATTCCTATAGTAGTTTCAAGAGCTCAATAGAGCTCAAAACCGAAGATTGCCTTTTTGTTGATAAAATGATTTATTGAACAATTTGCCACAATTAATAAAACATGATAATACTGTGCTCCCTTCAGCAGCACATATACTAAAATTGTAATGATATGGAGAACATTAGCATAGCCTATGTGCAAGGATCATAGGCAAATTTGTGAAGTGGTCCATATTTAGGAAAAGAAAACACAATGGTAACTGACTGATTTTTTTAAAAAAGGTTACTAATGATTATTGAATGAATATTATTAAATTATCCAGTCTAATATTCAATATGATTTTATCAGACTCAGACACTGAAATATCCTAAGATAACAAAGTTAGATAAGCAAAGACAAAATGAGCAACTCACTGCACTAATCTTTAATTACAATTACCCAAAATCCATCATCAATATAGTTAAATAACATACCAAGTAAAGACCTTCCTACTTATCACCAACCAAAAAGAATAATGCTGTGAACAGTCAGCCCATTAGACAAGTATGTGGCTTTGTCACAATTACCATGTTGGCATGCTCCATCTGGGTTGATAAAAAATGTTGTTATTCTGACAGCTCCATGAGAAAAAGTATGCAACATTTAACATGCATCCAAGCAGAAAACCATCATCAGTAGAAGATTGGTACTGCTCTAGGTAAAAGAACCTGTATTATATAAAATCATCCTTTACTTTCTTGGTAAGGACCTGTATTATATCAAATCATCCTTTACTTTCTTACATTTAAAGGAGATAAATTCCAAGGTGCTGTGTCAATTATTAGCCTAAACTACCTTCCATAAAACATAACACTGCTTAAACCACTCATTCTTAATCAGAATACTAGAGCAAACAAAGTTAAATAAACAGACAACTCTACACACTCACAAAGAACTTCAAAAGTAAGAGGTTCTTCCGTCCACATGTGTCCTTAAGACCTTGAGAGAACCTGGGCTACTCTGCAAGCCCTTGCAGTTCATATGAACTGGAAGCCCTTCAGAGTAGGAACAGTGGGCTGCCACTTGAGTTGCTATAGCCTCTGCTGATCACAAGCTATGAGGCCTTTGTTATCTTCCAAGAGAACTCAACTTACTATTTAAGGACCCAAGACTTATAAAATGGAAAAGTATACATTTCTACATTTTAAAAATAGTAAATACAGAGAATAAAGGAAGGCCTTTGTTCCAACTTAAAGAAGCAAAATGGTGCAAACAGCAAATAACCATTGATTTAAATAATACTGGTAACATGTAGACATTTTAAATTCAAAAACTGACAAAACCAGTTTTCCATCTGCTATTGTTATGCTGGTTAGAAGATGTGTAGGAGCATCATTGTTAATGATACCCACAATCACTTGCTTAATCACCTCAAAGGGTCTAATAGCCAAAGAGAAGATTCTTTTATTACCCCACTATCTTCTATTAAAGCATCAAATGTGAGGAAAAAAAATACAGCAACCCAAATACAGGAATATATCCAACATTTAAAGGAGGGGGAGGAAAAGTAGAAAATGGAGAACAGAGGAAAAGAATTTTTAAAATATCTGGAAGTAACACCAAAACAGGTAGAATAGACTAAAAGGGCTGAGATAGTTCAGTGGTACCGAGTGCATGCTAAGCATGCGTGAAGTCCTGGTTCAATCCCCAGTACCTAAAAAAGGGGTGGGGGGGGGTAGACTGTAAGTCCTTTCCATTATATTTTTCTTAAGTATTAGAAGGTCTAGAAAATGCTATCCTCTCTATTCAATTAAGTATTAACACATTCTAAAGAAACTATTTGCCTATTTATATTATCTATATGGTGAAAATACACAAGTACTATTTTTTAAATAATACAAGTCTGCCTAGCCTAGTTAAAAAATTAACAAGTATTATTTAGTATGTTATAAGAGAGAGAAAGGTCCTATAAGAAAGACTATTTCTGGGGGCTGGGGCTGGGGCTCAGCAGTAGAGCACTTGCCTGGCATGTGTGAGGCACTGGGTTCAATTCTCATCTGCATATAAAGAAATAAAATAAAGGTCTATCAACAACTAAAAAATAAATATTTTTTAAAAGACTATCTCTTTAAAGACATAAACTAACATCTGGTTCAAACTAAGCCCTCAGAATCAAAAGATCTTGAAATTCAACCATTTGCTAGTTCAAGTCTAGGGGAATCAGGTTTCATTCAGAGCATGTACTTATTTCCACTGCCTTTTATCCTTTTAAACAGAACCCAAATTTTTGTTCAGCTTTACTGCCTCTTCTACATGTGAACAGCAGAGGCTGGTTCTAGGATGGACCACAAATGTAAGTTCTGTTGGTCCAGGGCAACTGTGCAATCTCCCTTTCCTTGCAAATATGCAAAAAGTCTGTTGGTGGATTTCTGGGAAGAAACTCCTCCCTCTAAAAAGAGCCCCTTTGCTGCCTCTGAGCATTGCATACAAAACTCTTGGAAAAGCTGCTGCTGTCTTGAATTTATGGAGGAAGAAAACCTGGGGACAAAATGACGTACAATAGAGAACACTGGCAAGAGTCACTGAAGCCATCCTCTGAGCATGCCACATGTAGTTTGGTCCTATTTCAGAGCTTCTGTGATGTAAAATAAAATACACCTATAGTTGAAAAGGCTGAGCCAAAGGTTTCTGTTACTTGCGGCCAAAAGCATCTTAATAGTTTCACACGGGCTGAAGAAAGCATTAGAAAATAAGCCTGAAGAGATTGGAAGTATATACAGATAGAGCTCAGGTAATTACTACTCTCCAAGAGTTTTATAACCTGCATATCTAAAAGCCATGGTTGTTGAAAGTTTTGTTTTTTCCAAATGCTAACTTTTTTCCAAAATTTTTTTATTGGTGCACTATAATTATACATAACAGTAGGATTCATTATATCATATTCACACACACACACACACACACACACACATAATTTGATCAGTCTCATTCCCTAGTACCTTCCTTTCCCCTCCCCAGATCTGCTTGCTCTACTCTAGTGATCTCCCTTCTATTATTGTTATTTAAATTAGTGCATTATAATTATACACACACACACAATTCATATACAGACATAGCATAACTTGGTAATTTCTTCTGCAGTTCTGCTCCATGTCCTCCCCTTTCTCCTCCCTCTCCATCCCCTTCCTCTCTACTCTATTGGTGGTCTTTACGTTTTTGTGCAGATGCTCAATTTTTTAAAACCAACCACCCAAGATAAGTTTAGTGAGATGAACCATTAATTCTTTAAGACTCTAAATAAGAATGAAACAAACACAAAATCAAGTATAAAACTCCCTTTCTTCATCTATTGAAGTATATGAAAATTGGGGTATAATTTTCAATAATGCCCAATTTCAATAATAATCAAGATAAATGCTGACAATCTTACCTGTTGGAAAAAAAAAATCCTGCAGGTCTCATGAAAGATTATGTTGAGAGAGATCTGTGCCAGACAAAGCCCTGTCCACAAGCAACTGGAGCCATCCCAGAAACATATCCTTTCCTGAAGTGAGAGCTCATAATCAAAGGCTGTGCATAAATCATTAAGAATCCCAATCAGAGACCATTATTCTCATAATTATAATGCACATAATCCTTATAATACTGTATTGATGGGCAATCCAGCAGTCTAAACCAAGAGGCATTGGAAACTTCTTGAACCCTGCTGGCTCTGCATTAGATGAACTGCATTTGCACAAATTTCCTATCTCAGATAGAGTTCCAATATTGTGTAAGGGCCAGAGCTAGACTTACCTCCTTCCTGTGAGAAGTTATCCTAACATTTGTATAAAATAGCCTGGTGATCTGGAGATGAAATGAAATCAACAGAATGGGATTAGAACTCCTGCTCAGCCTCTTATTAGCTATGTAACCATGTTATTGAGTGTTGCTGAGTTTTAGTTTCCCCATAAACAATACAGGGATATACTATGTACTCATTGGATGGCTCTAAGGACTAACTTAGAAGCTATACATAAAGTGGGTGGCACATAATAAAGTGATAATGAATGGTGGCCCACTGTCATCAAATAGAAATTCTGTGAAAAGGGGGACTATATCCATTTCTTCACTAATAGTAATAATACAAAAAAATAATAACATCAGCCATTCATTGAGCACTGCTCAAGAAACTCTGCATGAAGCAATTCCTTTAATCTTTATAATCCTTTAAGGTAAAAATTAAAAGTATTTCCAGGTTACAGATGAAGAAGGTCAAAGGAAAAACAACTTACCCAAAGCCATATAATCAATAAATGGAAGAGCCAGGATTCAAATCCAGGCTGTCTAGCTCCAAAGACTTTATCTAGTACTGTCACAAATCCAAAAATGACTTCACTCCTGTTTAACCAGCACCTAGCATGATGTGGGATAGTTAGTCGTTTATTTAAAAAGTGAAATCAGTAAGTTACTATAACAATTTAGGGCTTTATAATCATTAATAACATATCCTGAGTTATCCCCAAGCCCCATAAATTTCACTGACCATCAGGATGTGGGTAGGGTCAGTATCTTATTTCCTCCTTTCTTG